TTATTTACCTTTGACTTTTCAGAGAGTACGAAAGCAGAAGAAGAGCTCATCATGAACAGTACCTGAGACTTCTAGAAGAAAGAAGGGTGAGACCACTTCTGTGAATAACTATTTAAGACTCTTCTAATCCGAAACTTTCAGTTGGAAGCGAATCGTCGTCGAGCTGAAGAAGAAAGGAGGCGAGCTGAGCTGCTTGCTGAACAAGGTATCCTATATGAATATAGCACTCTTTGGTTCCTTTTCGACCATGACGAGACCATGCTCTCGTCCCGATTTTGTGGCTTTTTCAAAGAAATCTTCAGCTGATGACTTCTTCCCCATTCCAGAGCGAAGACGGTATGAGCTTGAACGAAGCACTACTGCCTGGCCTACTTCCCAGACTGTTGTGAGAGATGAAGAGGTATAGTTCTGGGAACATTAAACTTTCAGTATTACCAATAACAATGGCTAAATTCAGTTGCAAGAAATTTCTGTAGAAGAGGATATGAACGGAAGTGTTGAGGTCTCACAGTATCCGGCGTAAGTGATCAGCAATTTTCCTGGAATCGGTTCTCTCCCATTACCCATCTCAATCGGTATTACAGGCGTCTACCATCTCCCCGTGCCCTGCTCAAAGAAGAGACTGAAGAGTTCGACATCTGAGTCCGTGAGAGCATATCCCAATCAGTTCTTTACACAGTTGACCACCTCATTCGAATCTACGCACTGCACAGCCTTCTTACTGCCTAATCACGTACAAATCTGCCGTCTATTCCGTTTTATTCACCTCATCAATTGTAGGATTTTTGATCTTTTCAGATGTCGACTTCGTTGTCGGTCATTTCCCACATTAACAAAAAATTTGTACTGCCGAACAAGATTTTATAGCATCTATGTGTATATTTAGAATAAATGTTATAGATTTTTGTAATGATTGTAGCCGATTGCAAAAGAACGACGAGAGGAGACCCTGATTTTGTCTGTTTGGGAGGTCCATATTCAACCGAACTCACCTCAACAAACCCATGTGTGCCCATGGTCAATGTATTAAGATTAAACTTGTATAGAGTATGCCAAAAAATAATCAAAATAAGAACTAAAAAAATATGTAATCGAATGGTCGGAACTCACTATGTTCATGCTAAACATAATACAAAATGGAATATGTATGGGAATGAGCCCTATCGAATCCCTCATCATGTCGCGATGCAAGTATAAACGGCGGAAAGATAGCCTGTGGAGATGCGTTGAACATTTGGAGAGCCGTTTCTTCGCTTGGATGATAAACCTCCCAGTCCAATAGTAGCTAGGAACCCGATAATTTCTGCAAAAGGATGACAAATGAAGTCTTTT